AGGAAGAAGCAACATAATATTTTAGGCTTGTTGATCTTGTTGAGGCTGTAAGGTGCAACTAGCATACATCGTTCAGCATCAAAAAAATTTCCAAATTCCTGCTCATGAGATCAAGATGTCTAACTTGATCTTCAAAAAAATGAGATTAAACCTTGTAAAAAAATTATAAAATTATCTTATCAAGCACAAAATCTTAACTTGATCATATGTTTCCAGAGTTGAAGCAAAGTTGAAAATTTTATGCCCTAGCATAATTTTGTCTGTGGATATTGAAAATAAATTTAGCAATTGCATCACCAAGTTCAAGATGTTTAACTCTTGATTGGAACTTGACCTCCATGTCTTATTCATGTTCTTTCAATAGTTTTTCAATCTACAACCAATCAAGGTGAAAAAATTGTTGAATATGGAAATGGAAATGAAAATAGTTTTCAACTAGCAATTGACGCGTCTCGGTTTCACCTCATTAATTGCGTCGTTGCCCCAAGCACAAAGATTTAAAGTTTCTTGTGATTGATGGTGAGAAAGATGAATATCTTAGCTTGAAGAGCGCTGATCAAGGAAAGATTGCTTCTATGTTATCTTTGTTTTGCAAAAAAAAATTTCTAGATTGTTCTTGCCATGATGGTAATGAATGAAGATCTCTTGGAGTTGTTTTTTAAATTTATGCCAAATCTTCTAGATGTAGATAACTATCAGCATTTTACAAAGAAAAAAATTTCATTCAAACATCGTAGATCCATCTAAGAAAATCTGCCATCAACCCAACACAACTTTTCCAAGTAAACAACCATAAATTAGACAAAGTATTTTTCTCATGATGCATAATATATCAAACTTCAGCCATTTGTTAGCATGAAAAATGTACAACTTGTTGAATCTAGTACATCTTGACATTTCACCATGACCACATCATCTAGTGTGTTCAAAATCAAGTATTTTGCAACTACTTGCTTGAGAGCTATCAAATTGTTCTAGGCACAAAATTTAGTGAAAGATGCTTTTTCAGATTCATACAACATTTGTTTGTCATCAAAAGAGTGAGACTTAAGTTCAATCATATTACAATTGTCATGTAATATTATGTTTGTGTGAGAAAACATGTTGCAAAGCTAATTCTAGTAAATTCTGCGAATCATAGGAGAAAGAGTATCATAACAAGATGCAATAAATAACTGTGACTCAAAAGTTTCATTTTTAAAATAAAATGCAACTTTCACTATTAAAATGTAGTAGTTGGATTCATGTAAAACAGATGTAATCATCAATGATTGTTAGCAAATACTTAAAATTGATCTCTATCTTGAATTGATAAGCATAGATTGTTATGAACTAATTCTATAAGACAAGTCAACTTCTTAATGGCCAGTTTGGGCTTCTTAACACGATGCTGCTTTGTTAGAACGAGGTCTCAAAACGTCTATTTCTGCCAACATGAGACAAGAAAATCCATGCACAAAGCATTTCAAAGTCATATGATGTGATGTTGTTTGATGACAGATATGGCACAACCTTTACTGCAAAAGTTTGATGAGGTCAAGAGTTTAAATAATTGCTTGAAGTCAGCTATTCTATGATCCCGACAAAGATGAGTGTTTCAAGAAAATTGCTAGGTTTTTATGTCTAATCATACCGTTGGAGCTTGTGAAGGAGGAAGGAAGCATTGAGATGTTGCATCTTGGGAAGAATTTGGTATGATTGATTGCAAGTTTCACAACTTTCAACAAAAAAAATGTATGAAGATTGATTTTGTTGAGCACAAAACAATAATTAGATTTAACATGAATTCGTTAGTTTTACTATTGAGAGCAGGTTCTTGATAAGATTCGACACGTACAAAATTGATTCAACCTCTTTATTTGTCAATAATAGATAATCAAGTCTCACTAGCATTGAAAATCCAAGAATGAGAAGAATGTAATTGATATCTTGAGTGAAAAGAATTTAATTAATTAATTATATGAACTAAGAATTGAACTCTTGCTTGTCATGTGGGCTGTTGGCGTCAAAGTCTAACAAATATTTTCTCAATTTGTGTAATGACAAGGCTTCTAGCTATATTGGCTGGAAATTCAAATTATCTTTTATGTTGTTGTCACATTTATCTATAATGTTGACTTGCACCTCAACTCATTGTATGTTAGAAGCAAATAGTGATAGTTGCACTATCTACTCATCAAGTTTCTTCACATCAAAATCAAATTTTCAATGATTCATGCAATCACATAAATTATAACATGTATATTTTCAATCTGATCCGGTGCCAATTTCTCTAGTTCTAAAAATGCAAGATTGAGAGTACAAAAAAGAAAAGTGTTGTTTACAAAAGTTGAATTATGTGATTGCATTGAGAATGTCATCCCATGATGATTATTGAGCCTGGTATTTTTTCAAGCCAAGTATTTTTTTATTGGAAACATTGTACTAGATTTTTGAAATCAGCTGCAGTATCTTGAGTGATATCGTTGCTAAAATTTAAGAGAAATAGTGCCAACGAGGGTGTATGACTCTTGAGAGTGTAATAAATCAAGTCGTTGTGAGAAGATTAATGATCAACGGCATCAAGTTGGATCTTGATATACTGATTAGTTTGAACATATTGTTTAACTATGACAAGAGCAAGCTACTTACGAGTTGCAAGTTTTTTAGTTAGCATTGGTTGACAAAAAACATTGTTAGATTAATACAAAGTGAGGTTCCACATGGATGTGAAGAATGCTTCTATAATTTGCTATGTGTAAACTGTAATACATACAATCCTTATGAATATAATTCACATAAACCTCTTTACATTATACAATTTTGTAAATATTTTTTTACTATAGAACTTAGATGCAATAGAACATACAACACATAATGATGTTAATGAATATCAACCTCTTGTTAATTTCTTTCATTTGTGTACAATATTTGGTTCTTCAAAAACTTTGATTTATTGAGCTGATTTTATTTCTTTGCATCCGGATAATTCATTCATGTGACTGTGTAGAACATCATGTACACAATAGGAGATTACTTGATGGGACCTCATACTCACACAAATAGGTTACTGGGATCCATCAAATATTTTTTTATTCAATGGTACTCCACTGACGGTACACGTCATCCATGTTCTACTATCGATCAATGGTGTAGGAAGACGATCAAGCAAAAAGCGTGCAGGAGGAGAAAAGAGCTGGAGCAAAGTGGAGTATGAAGGAAGGCCGTGGATTGAAGAACTATCTTTTCAGTGAGATTTTTGAAAGTTGAAAGTAACCTTTCAGTGCTCACGCACAAATCAAGTTTATGCAAGGTTCATAAAAACTAAACTGATCAAGTGGATATTGATGAGATCTTTGTAGCATTGTTCAGATGTTGAGTTTAATATTCAGCAATGAGCGAAAAGTACTCACATGAACGAGTTCTAATAGTGCAGGTTTTTTCATGTGCACAAGGTTCCACGACTAGATTGATTTATTTTTTACAACTCAATAGCAATCCCATGTTTCATGTTATGTGACTAAAAATCTTGATCAGAGCTTGTTTGTTTGCTGAAGTGAAAGTTGAGCCTAGTGTCACATAACGGATCAAGACTTTTTATCCACCACTAAATAGCTTCGATTGAAGCCGGGAATGGAGCTTCAGTCAAACTAATGCTCCATCCACACATCAAAAAGTCCAACGACAAAAGGGATCCAACAAAAAAACAACATGCAAACAGTAAGGAGGAGTTAGCCAAATACAAAGTTTGAATCATTACTAAGGCTCATTCCGAAGATAGAAAAGCATCAGCTAACGTTTACAGCATAGAAACTCCAGTTGACTAACTCATCCGTCGACTCATGCATAAATACTGTGAAAAAAAAGTATATGTTCTTGAAAAACTACGGAGATAAATTACCATGAGCATGCACAGTACATTCTCCACTAGTCTTACAGCACATATAGCACAACAATAAGTTGGATTGAAGAAAAACAGTGCATGGGAGTTGAGCTCATTTTAGTCGCTAGAATAATTTGATTATGCCATGTTGTCATGAGAAGCTCAATAATTTGCTTTGTTGGTGGGTAGCACACGCTGAAGTTGTAATTTGTGGTACATACAGATTGCGCCCTGAAAAGATTGCACATACCAAACCAATTAGAGATCGTGCCACTCACCATGAACACTCGCAGGTTGGAATTTCCATAAGATCATTTACTCACACTATAGCTCGCAGCTTGTAATTACTGGAATATCTTTAAGAACACGGTGACGGTGGTCCATCGGTGAAATCCAATAGGGTATAACAATACTTGATGTATCCCAGTAATACATTTATGTTAGAATGAGATTCCATCAAATAATTTTCTCTTAACACAAAGACAATCCAACAATTGAAAGTATAAAAAGTCTCAGTCTTTCCTTGCTTTGACATAAGTCTAAAAGCTTTTTGGCGATATTAAATAAGGTGTTAGAGTTTTCTCCATAGCAAAAAGGTAGTCTAATCTCAATTCATATAGATTAGATGTGACATTTGGTAGCATTTGGCAAGATCAAAGCCAGCACTTGTTATTTTTTTGAAACCTCAAAGTAATGGAGGAAATATAATCAAGGAAAATCAAACAAAATTTGAATAAAAAAAATTTCATCCTCTCAAAATTTTTGAATTTAAAGATTTTCTTATTTAAATATAATGAGTAATTTACGTCATATAACACATTATCTACATCATGAATTAGAAATGTCCATTGCTTCAATAATTTATAAGTACATTGTACATATAATTCTTCTCTTCTTTAAAGAAAATTTCTGAAATGTATGTGATGGTTTACCAAGTAGATGAGATGAAAACCAATTCTAATGAGAACCACGAAATTGTAAGAGAAGGAATGTTAAACTTATCGTGACATACATAATAATCCACTTCATTTCCAGATCATGTAACATAGACTTGTAAAGATTCAAACTAACGAAAACTTGACGTGGAGATGTGCGTTGGCCTGAACCGGTTCGCGGAGAAAAGCGGACGAAGAGCAATAAAGAAAAGAGGGGGACTGACTCATGATCGCCAGTCGTGGACAGGCGCCAGTGACCAGTCTATGGTTACAGGTTCGAGGTTACCGTTATCGTTGCACCGAAAGCGAAAAGTGGGATTCGCATTTGCCGTCCGGGTGATCAGCGCGCCGCTGCTCGTTCTGAGCTTCCCGCTCTGCGGAATTTGTTTTCCCCTTTGATGCTCTGAGCGCTGCAGCTGCTGCCATTTCTGTCGATCGTGGCTGTTAGGGTTGTTGCGCTCGTGTTGATCCGGATTGGGACGCGTTCGGGTGCGGATTCGTTCTCCCAGGTGCGGTGATCTGGTGGTGCCAGTCATGGACCGAGTCTGGTGGCCAGATTGGGACTTTCCGTGGGTTTTGCTCTCGACGATCGGACTGTGAGGAGATCAGGGACGAGGCGGACGATCTTCTGCCCCTTGCAAGGATACGGAGGAAGTCGATTTTGGTTGTCTTCACGCGAGGAGAGGAAACGAAAGGAACCTGCTGCCAGGAAAATCGTTCAATCTGGCGCCAACGCGCGAGAGGAGGTTGGATTGCATTTCTTGGTGCGTGTGTTCTTGCTTTTTCAGGCGACCAGTGTTTCCGAAGGCTGCACGTCGTGCGAAGTGTCTTTATAATGTGTGTTAGTCATCGTACACTTGAAAGTGTGAATTCACGGTTAGTTGCAGCGTTCGAGGAGGTTTCTGTCTCGTCCATGTCGTAGATGTATGCCTGCACATTCTGGCCGTCGGCGGCCTGATTCAGGAACCAGATTCTCAGCTGCATTCTGCATTTTGGTCTTTGTTACGGTTATTAGTAGACATGTGCTGATCGCGTCGCCGTCAGCATTGTGTTTGCGGCTTTGTTGTGGAGTTTTGCAATCTTTTCAATCTTCGGGCAGAGACATCGGTGGAAGTGTGGACATTGCGATCGGCCAGGACATTTAAGCCTCTGCTTGAACTTGTTTTACAACTTTAGATCTTGCCGTGATCTCATGGCCTTTGGGTCTCGTGGAGCTTAGGAGGTCGATCTAGGATGATCAAAAGCTGCTGGACACTTGTCGCACAACACTCACCTCGTGGAGCTTCCGTAGCTCGATTGGTGCCAGACAGCGACTCGCTCTTCTAAAATATCAAGCTCTGATAAGAATTTTGTCTGTCACTACAGGTTAAGTCCAGTATGAATAGATTCAGGACAAGAGTGTGTTCCAGTCGCTCAATGTGGCGTCCGAGATCTGCTGTTTCTGCCAATTCTGAAGCATACTACCGCGTCTGCAAGCACTCGGCGAAACTCACAGAGGGAATTAATTTCATCTCGTCCTAGAAAGAAGATTGAGGAACCAGCGAAGTCGGTAACGGTTACCATTCTTCCAGTGCCGGTCGCCATGTCTATTAGACATCGAAACTGCATACGTATTAGTAGGCTGATGTGGATATAGTGGCTAGAATCTTACAGTAAGAGTTTCACGTGTTGCGTACTTGTTTGCGGTTTATCTTCGCATTTGGAGGACCCAGCCTCGGTCATTCTAGTAGGAAGAAGCCCTGTTGAAGTTTGCCGCAGAGTCAATTCTACATCAGAAGTACGTACAGATACGGTTCAATTACTTGAGGACATATAATTATGGGCAATTGCTGGTCCACCAGTGACTATGTAACGCCGAGACCGACCCAGTTGCTACCCGATCCATGCGGCATCTCTACCTTTTCAGCGTCGAGAAACTGGTTCATGTCCAACAATTACAATGTTTACAAAGGAGCTGACGACAATGCACCTCTATGGCTCTTTCTTCACGTGAAAGGGAACCCCAACGGGGACAACGATTCCTATTTTGTCCTGGAAAATTTCTGGTGTGTATTCATTATTATCTCTTCCTGCAGAATCGAGGCTGGCCAACATACATACTTTCATTATCACTAGAATTCTTAGCGAAGTAGATTTCACGAGCTACTCCAGATCTTTTGAAAATCGTTTGCACTTTTAATCGAATGTGATTTTCCTGTACCGTCTCCATTCCTCGATCTCTGCCACATCCTAACAGTGAGAGCACAGGGGAGGTCATGGAAGTTCACGTCTGTAGGCAACATATATGGCAGTTGATATAAATGTCATCAGGGATTGGGAAAGTCCACAACTGAACTTCATGTTTGTTGGGCTGCCGAATCTGAGACGCTGCTTAATACAAGCTCTACTTATCGTTTTGCTCTTTGTAACCTGTTCTCAGTAGATTTGTTTCCTACAGCTGCCGCAGGAAATCACCTCAGTGTGTTTTAGATACCTTCAGTGACTGTAGGCGGAAGACCTGCAGCTGCCTTGTCTCGATTATACATTTCTCATCGGGGAATTGGGTATGATGTTGTGCAGGCGACCACCTTTCTCTGAGGAAGGTGATGTCATATGCTGGTGTCATCTCCCAGCATATCAAAGAAATCAAGCCTACCAGACTTCTGGCCTCGAGGAGTACGGCATCTCACCCGACCTAGTGTCTGAGATTTATTGGGCCAGTACGGAATTTGTCGATGAGCCGGGTTCACTGCCGATGGTGCACTGGAAGAGGCGAGAGTGGAGTTTTACCATCCGGCTTGGCTTTTACAGAGACCGTTACATGGAGGAGCCATTGGGAGTCCTCGACATCTCTAGCAAAGGCTGGATAATTAGAAAAACCGGTGGCCCGGGAAAAAGTTACATCCAGCCAAAGAAGGAGGCACGTGACGTGAGATACGTCTTTAGAGACAAACACGGGCTCAGGTATCCTATCGAGATCGAAGCAGACATGAAGGGAATGCTGACCTACGAGAGTGGTATGTACAATTGCTCCGTTACCTATGAGCAAGGATGGGCTGGTGAACGGCGACTCAGTATAACGAGCAAACCGAACGAGGATCCCAGCCTCTCTTTCCTTGTCGCCTTCGTGTGTGCCAACGTCTTATCACCAGATGATATTGCCGCCAACCTGCGAAGCTTTAAGCTCTAATGAACACGTTCTGATCAATGCACGGCTTCTCAACTGATCGTGCCCAAACTTGTAGAATGTCGAACCAATCCTCGTCTGTAATCGGGGGGAAGCCTTGAATCTCGATAAAAAAAAAATTTATTTAGTTTAGGTCCTGCTCTAGAGCCGGTGTACCTTTTGTAATGTTTAAGTAGTAGGTTCTCATATACACAGATCTCTGTGTGAGCCACATTTAGTACGTGTGGATCGCACTGGTAAATATACGATTATTCGTACCTTAGGCTTAGGTCTAGTATCCTGGTTACTGTATCTTAAGTAGATCAACTGAACAGTTTTGTAAAGTACCTCTTCGTGTATTCATTCCGTTGTAACTCTAGTATACACACATGTTTGTATTTAATATCATGCTGATGACACGGGCAGTGAAACCAATGAAGGAGATTACCCAGTTCGCTGAGTCCATCTGTTCTGCAGGTGGACAAAGCGAAAGACCTCATATTTAAGACTTTTTACCTCATGTACAAGTGTCTCCTAAAAACTTGCTGGGATTTCATGTATCGTTGCTGTTTACACTGTTGAAAAAGTCGTTCGAGTCCCCAAGCAGTGACCTGGAAATGCCGAGGGTGAGAGCATTTGTGTGAATATGTGAGAATATACTTTGTCGAAATTTCTGACTAAACTTTGATATAAGCTATGATCTAAGCACGACAATAGTGAAAATTTGTTATGGATTGTTCCTTCGACGGGTTGAAATGAATTGTTTCTAAATCCAACCAGTGGTTTTGGATTTTCTTTCTCAATTTCTATAGATTAGGGTTGGGATATGGGTGAAACATACAAACATACAAACATCAATCATGAGATTGAAAATTCGGAATGTCTTATTGTCAAAAAATTCTGAAGTAGTACAGTATATCATCGATATGTGGTTAGGTAAGTGTCAGCAAATATGTGATGTGGTATATGTTTATTTCGAGCTAGTTATAGTTAAAGGCAGGAAGATAACTTGGAAAATATGAATAAATATTATTGTTTGAACCGGTGAGGATAATCACATTTATATCATAAATTATCCCTGTAAGTAACCCTACAGCACACCTGCCACATGTACCTACCTTTGAAGTAAAATCAAGTGTTAATCAATTTAGTGGTAATCTAAAAGCCAATCTATGTTCTTCATTAAAACAAACATGACATGGAAACTAGTTTCGAAAGGTACATCTTGGTATACGGATTGACATAGTACGGATAAATCATGATACTAGAATATGATGGATGAGGCGTTTTAGATAACAGGCGTTTCTTTCTCCTGTTTTTCATCTTTAATTCTACTTATCACGTCTTTTATTGTATATAGGTTAACTACAGATATACAACTTTATTAAATATATATATAACATATACGAACAAGCTCTTTACAAGGCGCTGGGTTTCGAGGCGCCGCTGTCGCTAAGGTCAGCTGTGGAGAGTCAAAATAGTGGCGATCTGCTCGATCACATCAAGTCTTGTAGCCGAGATTTACTGCCGAAGAACTGTGCACTTGCGTGGCCTAGGTGAAATGTTTAAAAATTAAAAATGTAAAAAAATTATTAATAATAACTTAAGCCTAATTGGCTTGAGCAAAGTACATTATATCGAAAATGATCTCGGTACACGAATAGTTAAAAATGTAATATAAAATCAGCTCTGATAAATTAAAAAAAAAAAGCAATGCAGTTGATAACCAAAAGTAATAGTTTCATAGCCGAAATGGTCAATCACCATAGGCTATTCTTCTTCCCATCTTAACTCATTGGTTCATCCATGTACATTTGATGTATCTCCCCAAACTTTTTGCTCTATTAGTTGGTAGCTAGGTCTATTTCATTGGATGTTATTATACATCATGCTAACTTTGACTTCTTTTCACCTAAACCGTCTTCTGCTGCTCTACATAACGAAATGCAACGAACGACGAATAATCTATAAATTAATAATATCTCTACAGCATCTGCGACAGGAGCTGAATGTTGACCAAAGTGCTTCGATGTGCATATCCTCAGCATGAACTTAACAGTATTCTTGGTTAGCCGGACCCGGATATTGAGTTCCAGATTGACCAGGACAGAAACAGTTCTGATACTATGAGCGAACGTAACTAATAAATTCATCACTTTTTATAAGAAACCATAAAAGCTGTAGATAACATACACAAATTAACGAAAATGATAAGTTAAAAAACGATGAAACAAGAACAAGGATTATACAATTTTTATCTAATTATATATACATGATACTAATTTTAAGGATCATCCTCATTTATCAAATTTAACAAAAGGAGTCTTTCGTAAAATAGCATTTTTTTGTTTTTGTAAAGATATATACACACTTTATTTTTTTCTCAAAAAAATTCTTGCATAAAAATAACAACTGTATTGTTTTTGAAAACCATTATTGTAATTAGCTTATATAAAAATCAATTAACCGCTCATAATCAAGCGGCCATAAAACTTTTCACAAAAGTGCTATAACGTCAATATTTGGACTTGGATCTCTCTTTGAACAAATTTGGTATTCAAAAATTTTAGTCTCAGATCTTATACACCCAATTTCACGTTTGAAATTTAAACTCATATATGCAAATGAACACACACTTTTCGAGTTATGTAGATAATATTGAAGATAAATGTAGTAATAACACATGTATATTACGAGCACAAATTAGGACTTTAGTGTTGAAATTTACTTGATTGAAAAAAGAGGGATGTGATGTGATATGCTTCAATGATACTGTATCACAGTGGGAAAATTAATGCAAATAATATATATATATATAATATATATAAAATAGTCAAAATGATTTCTTGAGAATCCTAAGAATGAAACATCAACATGTATGTTTCTTATGAAAGTCATGTATCATTTTTGAATGTAAAAATTTTGAATATTCATATTAAATTAAGTTTGTTTTAATTCAGATAGCTTAATGCTAATTGGGATTTAGCTTTTGCTTTCATATAAAAATAGAGAACTAATCAAATTTCTCACTAAACACTTTTAGATTTTTTTTGTTAGGTAGTAATTCATGTCGGCTAACACTTGGTCGTGAGTACCTAGGCAGGCTATCCGCCTTGAATATTATCAGTAAAATTTTAGTGATCCCATAGCCTACACACAAACCACGTTAAGTGAGGAAATTACTTGATGGGACCCAACCGGTTACATTTTACCCGGTGGGATCTTATTGACGGCCCTGCAACCCCACCGTCGGTGATGTTCCACTATTATTTGGGGTTATTTCGAATAGAATATGAAGTTGTGGCAAGACCAATATCTGGAGTAATTCAGACTCATGGTGGCCTTCATTTTCCAGTGGCGGTGGCGGACACTCTCCATTCTATAGAGCAAATCAGTAGGTTATAAGAACATGGCTTACTGTGGCCGTCCAATGGGATCCCATAGGGTAAAATGAAAGCTAATGGATCACTTCAATAGGATTGAGTTTCCAAGAGGTACCATCAAGTAATTTCCTCCACGTTAAGTTTTATGTTCTCTAGTGTGAATTCTCTCAAATGATCCTGTCTTGTCAAATGCGTGTTGTCTGAGTTCTCTTATTTCACCACATCATTTATTATTAAAGACTTTTATGAATTTCCATGAATCAAGTATATCGTGTCGGCATTTCAGTATGTCTGCGTCGGTGATTCATTTCCATCATTCCATACACATTGATAATAATTATTTATATGAATATTTTGTTTAAATGCTATTCTTTTCATCTAGTTTGAAACTCTTTCTTTGTGAACGTTGTCAAAGTCCATAGCTAGATACTCTCAAATAAGCTAGAAAAAAGTTATGATATCTTTGCATATTGTCATATTTTGATACATTGGTTGTTATGGCATTAATTATTATCTTTTCCAATTATGGCTAATTCTCACACAAAAACTACGTTACTTCAGTACATGTATTTGTAGTAACTTGGTCTCTAAAATGATTTATTATGTATTGACCACATGGCAACCAACACTGCACCCATGTACAATATACATCTTCCCCTTGCAATAATAAACATCAATTCCTTACTAATGTCATGAATACATATATATTTGGAGTGCAAAATATAGTCGTTTCATTTCGTAGTCATAGTGCATCTAAGGTGAATTACATTCGCATTTCAACTAATGAACGTACAAATGGTTGTACCAAGCCAAGTAGAAACGTCACTACTTTAGAAAGATAAACGATGTGTATTCATCTTGTTGTAGCAAGTCGTAAACAGGTATCTCCTAGAAGGACTAGCATGTTTACAATTTGAAATTGCTTATTTTCGTTCATAACGTGCGAAATATTCCAATCGGGGGATATATTATGTGAAGTATGACATGTAATTGTTTCGATGGGCCAAATGACAAGTACTGAGATATTATTTACACTGTAATCAAAAGTGGGGGAAGACAGCTAAGGTGTGGAAAAGGTTAACTATATACACATGTACATATGTCATCTTATGGTAAACATAGCGTCGCACAATCCATTCCAAGTTCTATGATTGAAAGAAGAATTATAGTGTCAATGCACGACGGTGATACGAGTATAGTCAGAAGACGGACCAGGATTTTGTGACATGAACGGGCCAGACAGTCAGGCGAGTATTCTTGAAGGATTGTGTGAGTGGTTTGGTGTAGTATTTGCAGGCTTACAGATGTACTCAGGTTAGATTTTGTAAGAAATATCATCTGCGATTTACCGTTTGAATCTAGTGTGTTTATCCTATTAATGTTCGGGAGAAAGTTACCATAAGTTTTTTCTTCCTCTGTTCACGATGCAAGTTTTGAAAGTGCCTCTTCGTATACACTCAACACTTACATTTGAGTGTGGTCGAAATGATGTAGGTTTCGACCAGCAATTCGACCTTCACGTATTCGAACATGCCCTGTCCCGATGTTCAAAAGCTTTTCTCCCTGGACAGAGAGAGGCCCCAGAGAGTTCTTCAAAGGAGTTGGAGTCCTCATTGCACTTGTTTGAATGGCTCGTAAGGTCCGGGGCGGACCGAGAACATTCACTGGACGTTACACTGGTGTAGGGCGGGCGTGAATCGTAACGCCTGCGCCGGTACACTGTCCGGGTCTACGTCTACGTGTCCCATTCGAGTCACCCACGAATTCTGCCTACGTCAGACTCGACGCTCGGCCTGCTCGAGCTGCTGCCATATCACACTCGCAAGAGTCGATGCGTCCGCCGATTCCTTTTCGAGAACAACGCATTCGGATGAGATTCTTTCCGAGGCATCGAAGCCTTCACTGTCGCTCGTCGAAAGGGGCCATTCTTGGCAGGCTATCGATGGAAGACTATTGAGCGGCAGAGGCAGGAGCGAGCAGAGCAATGGTCTTCGGTTCAAGACATGGCGGCGGTGAAAAGCTCGTTTATTAATTGTGACGCGATCTAAGACAGTTTTACAGGGCAGAAAAGTTTCTGATTTTACACGACTCCCGATATGACACACTTGCCTCAGCAAATTCGCTAACAATACGCTACTCCTATCCAACTTCCTGCATTTTTTTCTTAATGAGAGCAGAAAGACCACAATCAACCTCTACAGAGAGCGCTCCCACACCCTGTGTCTATACACTCACAAATACGAATTACATATGTATACTCAGCGGAAGCATTCTGCGATGACAAAGAAGAACTTTTCATTTACCTCGAGTTCTTGGCATTATGGGTTGAATGCAGGAAAAAAGGGGTATTCTCCATACAGCTATGATGGGTAACCAATGATACAATGCGCCATCCAATTGTGATGACATGTATGGGGTTGTAACACCGACTCCGAGAGCTCGAGAAAGCTCAAGGCTTTGACGGAGGAGGGGGTGGCTTCATGCCAGGAAACTGCAACAATTCGGAGCGATAATCAGTCGACCATAGATCAGCTCGGTGCACACAAGAACAAACGAAAACATAGTAGTCAACTTGAGACTGATTGCCGATTTAGCATTGTTGCAAAACAGGAGGATGCTCCAACCTGAGTGTAGGGTGACAACGGCCTGTTGGCTCTGGGAAGATCTGTCGACTTCGTGCTGGGAGCGGTTACAAGCTCCTTCTCTGCAGGTTTCTCCTCCACCTTTGACTCGGAAGCGGCTTCGACAGACGGAGAGGTTGATTCAGCTGGGACCTCAATGGGAGCGGAGACGGTCTCCGTCGATGCAGCAGGGGCAGCAGGGGCCTCCACAGCTGCAGCAGCGACGGGGGCGGGAGCAGGGGTAGGGGCAGGGGCAGGGGCAGCTGCCTCGGCCTCAACCTGTTTGGGTTCGGAGACGCTCAGTGCTCCAACCATTGCCGGTGCTTCCTTCTCGATGGATTTCTCCACAGTGGCGGCTCCATTCGCTGTGGCCGCCTTGACCTCTTCAAACTGAGGCAGGAATACCTTTCCGATGCCCTGAGAATGTTCCGAACAGCATCTCGTTAGCGTAGGCACAACCATGGTTGTGTTAGGAACCGGCAGCTGTTGCGACCACTCTGCTAATCCTAAACCTTTTCTGGTGCACTCACATCTTTACCACTGCAAACCTGGTCCAGAGATCCACCTCTCATTGCAAAGACATGAGGGCATGTTATCCGCCAGTGAGGACCTAGTTTTGGAACGGTGTATGTCCATTGAGATGATAAAGAACTGTCACAAGTTCAGATTCACATTTCATGGCAATAACATAAGGGGATACAACTCGCAAGTGAGAAATGTGAATTTGGAACTGTCGGCGTCCAAGGAGGCACTCGAGGAGCCTCTCGACCTCTGAAAAAACTGACTTTGAATTCCTCGAAGACCAACCGTTAACCATGCTCATGCTCGGTTTGGACAAAATTTCATCGTGAGCACAGAGGTAAAATCGAACGGAGTTTTCGGTCAAAAAAGTGATGGATCTGACCTGCAATTCTCCGACGAATTCCTTTGGAGCGATCTTCGTGTCCAAGAAACTCTGCATCTCTTCGAGGGTTTTCTTTCGGTCCTGTCCATACCGATTTGCGTTCAGTCAGAAACTTATGAAACGAAAAGATGTCTACTGATTTTCAAGGTATCAACTTGGACGATGGTTGATACGACGTAGCGTTCGATTGAAAATGAAAGGCGCTCGTGGACAGAGATACAGATCGCACAATTTACCTTGGCAAAGAGAAGCTTCTTGACAAAGATCTGGACTAGTGCCGCAGACCCGAGCAGCTGCAATGCTGTCTCCGCCTGCTTTGCACAAGCAAATGTCAATTCGTTGATAAACAGAGCTTCCTGTGAAACATCTTGAATTTGGTGAGACTTTCACAAGGCATGGAGCAGGTGATGACCAGGTGCTAACCTCAGAGAAAACGACAAGTCCGACACCAGCAGCTGCCGCAACTCCGAGTGTGGCTGGCACTATGCTTGAATCGTCCTGAGAAGCCACAGACATAATCGGCGACAGTTACTCCCAATCTCAGATAGAAGCCATTCTCGCGGTTTTTTATCAGTGTGAGTGCTCACGAGCTGAAGAAACCACATTCAGCGTCCTTCTAGATCATGCGTCCGAGGTTTGGACATTACCTTCTATCCAAGAGCTATACTGACGATAATTGTCTTTTTACTCCCATTCAGGTTCACTCTCACTCATCGGGCTCTTAATCGCAACCAAGGCTAGACGTCCACTTCTCTAGTATGTCACATAAAAAGCTCAAGCCGCTATCTCACGACCGTAGGCGCGCCATCACTAATGCTTTGGAAGAAAGTGCATGGGAGAATTCGCAAGTACTCACCGTGTTAAAAACGTCCTTGAGACTGCCGAGGTTAAGAGTGAATCCCTTTCGAGGCATAAGCCAGGGCAGTTCGCTACTCTGAGAAGACGACATGCCACCCCACGTTACATCCAGTTACAACGAATTCAGTGACCTGTCAAGCAATCTACCAAAAATCCACATATGATTTCGACTTCCAGTGACATCTGTTTACATCCAGTGCGGATAGCAATCACCAGCTAGCGCAAGTAGCTTCGCCCACTGCCAAAATCCAGACCGTTCTCTCCAATGTACATGTCACAAGAGTACGAGACCGAACCTGCCAACCGGTCGGACCCTCGGCCCCGTCCTTGATGGCGTAAGCGCCTTTGAAGCCATTTTGAACCAAAAGCTTGGCAGCGGCGATTGATTTTCCGTCAAATCTGTATGAAACTCAGTCCACAACTGTCAGTTGCCGTCCCAGCTGGTTTCGGCCATGGGCGAAAAGCCATTTACAAAAATCCGTCATGGCACATTTGCTTAATTTAGACAGATGCTATCATGCCTAATTTACGTAGCCTAAGCGTTCCGCGTCAGTGCACGTATCCCAAACCGTGGCGAACAAGGGGACATCGCCCAGAGCCTTTTATCACCTGTCCAGAATGTAGAGCGTGGTGTTCTCGGCATCTTTGAATTTGCCCGTCACCTTGGTCACGAAAGTGTCCGAATCATCGTCGTACGGAATCTGGGTCACTTTCTTCCTAAAGCTCCTGAGGTCGGGAGTTCCTTCAGACCGGATGTCATCGCCGACTCGGATGTCGAGCATCGATGTCCCAGCTTCAGAGTCACCGAGCTTCTCGAACGCCTGCTTGGCCGACACCGTACCATACGCTTGGGGCTTCTTGAATACATTGGACGCGATCACGGGCAAAGCGAGAACGACAAGGCCTCCGACGATTGCAAGCGGGTTATCGGCGATGAAGTCAGTAAGCCCGGACGTATCCACGTCCAACTGCAGGTCGGGGAGAGAAGGAAGGGCAGATGAAACCGAATCGGAAGCGCTGTCCACGACATCCCCCGCGCTTTGAACGACATCGTCGTAGCTTAAAGCCAAAGCACCCTCGACACTGGCCAACCCGGCAGCCAAAGAACCCAGAAACACGAAATTCCTCTGCCTCAAAAGTACCTTGCCCACGGACTTCAACACCCCGCCCTCCGCTGCGGCAACGACCTCGACCTTCACGACCCTACGCTGTTGCTGCTGCTGCTTCTTTTGGGCCCAGAGTTGCGACCGAGACGCCAAATTCTTGCTGCTTCCAATCGCTCCTCCGACTCCAGAGCTGAGGGCAGTACGCGACGCCGCGCTGCTCACCCCCATGACCTCCATCGCTCCGACTCCTGCTCGTCGATCGGCCGACCCTTCGTGCACTGTCGGGCACGCTCGCGATCCCTTCGTGTTTCGACGGTCAATTTCTTCGAGAAAAGCTCGAAGAGTGGGACGTGAAGAGGGATAATTACTCAGAGACGGTGTTAGGGGTAGGAGCGGGAGCGGGGCGGGAGCGGGCCCCACCTCCGCGCCCGCGGAGTGCTTTATCCTCAAGGTGGAGAGTATTGGCTCCTGCTTGTGGTTCGTCCAATGGGGGATTTTTTGTTCTGCCAGCTCAGCCTGGTATCGGCGAATGCGAGGACAAGATTCCAAGGCATGGGATCCAGGCGTCCGACAGGGAAGGAACCAAGTGCGCTCGAGTTTCATCCACGTGGCCTCTCTCGAACGGTCTGGTTCGTCAGCCCCATTCATCCGGTTCGCAGCCAGAGACGAGCGATTCTCACCTCTTGCTCTATCTGCTCACCTCCAGCTGGCGGTGGCCCTCTTCCCCTTGCGCCATGTCACGGGTCCTGCATGGTAACCTTCTTCCATTCCTTTGACTTATCGATCGCTCGAGCCCTTGCTGTGTAATCCAATCCTACGGCTCGTTTCTATAAGTCGAACGAATTTCGGTGGAAATGAACACCAATTCTCCGGATCCTCCTTCCGCATCTTCCTTTCGCTGTCAGCGGCGGTCGACAGACACAGTGCACTACGAAGCCTAACAACATATTCATTCGAGAAACGCTCGCATGCTGCTAGAATAGTCAATAACATCGTGATTGGTGCACTGAGGGTGTATATATACAAATTCAGCTAATTTTTATGGTGGTTATAAATATCTTGCGTGAGGAAGAGAGCTGGACGCAAAGAGCGGAAAGACGGCGCACAACTGTAACTTCACGAAGCCGCTTATCCATTAAGCATGACAATCCAGCGTTAACAGTGTCAAGCGCAAAATTGATGTAGCGGATGTCAGTATGTGTGGTAAATGATATATATTTTTGGAAGAGTATATTGAAAATATTAAAAAAATTTGAAAACTGTTACTCATTGTAGTTTTTCCTAAATTAACTCGTTATGAACTTGGCTGTTAGGAAAGCAATATCGATTTTTTCCCATGCAACATTTTATCGTAATCATTTTCTTGACACCTGTTAATCTCCTGAATCCGTGTAGAAGTGATCGGATGTCCTGATAATGCTGTCGCATGAGCAGACTGAACCTCGAGCCCACCACCGAGAACCATGCACCGTACTGCGCGGGTGTACACCGTAGTTACTGCGGTGATTTACGACATCCAAGAGATGCTGGATGTGGCGGAGAATGGCTAGAATCCTGTGCCCGGGACAGGATGGCGCATGGAAGCGGATCGCGGGGCGTAGATGACGAGTGTGTGACACGTAGAGCGTCGGGCTCTATCCACCGGAGTCCAATGAAACCAGTGCCAAGGGATGGAAAGCTGCCAGTTGCCCCTCCTATCCGGGGCCTCGCTTCGCTCTCGGCGTCTTTCCAGACCGAGATGGCGACGGTGAGTGAGTGAGTGAGCTCGATGATGGCGAAGCATGATTGCGGTGGCCGGCGTCGCCGGATCGCAACTTTGTCCTCTCCGGTCTATTCTCTGAAGAGTTGTGCATGACAGAAGCAGGTTTCGTTCCTATGCGCTGTGGTCACTGGAGTCCAAGCAGACTGCAATCATCCCGAGCTGATCCTCCCGGTCTATGACAGTGGCAGTTTTGCATACTATCAAATGCCGTGGCCTACACTAGTCCAGTCTGAAGTCTAGCAGACTGCGATCATCCTGAACCGGTCCTCTCGCTCCACCTTTCGCCGCTCATGACGCTGTCCGTGATTTTCTGTTCTTCTACTCGCCTGTCATGCAATATCGATTACATCCCTGTGCGATAACGTAGTTCTTGCTTTCGCCCACGAGTATCAAGATTCCCACGGGTTTCTGAGTGCCCAAGCGTGCGCACTGGAGGCTTTCATCACCCTGCATTCTCCTGTGTCCTGACCATCGCTATTAATGTGCAATGTCTGCCTTATTGCTGCCTGTTTATACAGAAGACAGGAACGAACTAGAAGGTGGAGTTTACGAAGCTGTTCCTTCGTGAACGAGTTTGACTTCCAAAGCACGTAGCCGTAACTAGATGATACAGGGAGATAACCAAAGTTTGAGTCTAGATCCACGTCAAATATCATTTAGTGAAAAAGGATGCCACCTGATAAATAGAAACGATTTGTGGGATTAAGAGGATATTCTGCAGGAATCCCTAAAACACCCTACAACGCAATGTAGCAGATTTTTGAAGAGTTTCTCACATTCGAGTTGTGTTTGTTGACTAACAAGAAGAAATATATTCCTTCCTATCCAAAGTTTTATCCATATCTCTACCACATACCTCGAGTTCCCAAACTTCTCCCTCATGGAAGTAATCTGTCCTTCATTCAGTTCATAGATGGGAAGACATACGAGTTCGCAGCATACAAACTTTGCTCCTAAGTAGACACAGAACCTTCGAAGAATAGAGAATCTAGTGACACTGCGTCTCACCAGCTCAGGGAGTTGCTCCTTACGACCGAGTATCCTAAAGATATGTCGCGGCGGTTTTGAATCTTTGTAAGGCACACGACAATGTCTAGACACGTAAATGACGTGCGTAAATTACTGCACCTTCTCTTGCGAATTTCTCCACTCTCTCATCATCTCCTAAATATGTACGACGTCCAGCACAGATAATGAAAAGCCCGGCAACAGGCATGATTTTGTTATGTAATTTTTTAGTTTTATAATTCCATACTTTTTTGAAAAATTTGCAGGTCGTGGTCTTGCAACTCAAGGTAAGAGATATCGCGATGAATTTGATGCGAGTGTGAGGGAGCAGATTATACCATTTGATGACAGTGTTTTCTCTAGAGTTGAAAATTCACTACAAATATGTACATTGCTCTTGTTTAAGCTATTGAAGTAAATTGTATATTAGACCCGAACCACTTCTTAGAGTGGAAGCCACATCTGCTGATCCATAAGTCACAGCAGAAGAAAATATATGTTTTACAAGGTACTTAGAGACACTAGTACATAACATAACCATTCAAAACTTTTTCTCTCTACTACTGCGATATATCAAAGTTGACTAATTCAAAACACATATTGAAAAAAAAATTATTGTGGTCGACATTCTGTGTGAGAAAATGATATTCACTTGAGTCAAATTAAATCTTAAATTCAAATTCAATAAAAGTATAAGTTTAAGATTTAATCTAATTGAAATCTGAAAATAGAAATTTCTTATGAAATTATAAGAAAAGTGAACAACTCATGTGACCTTCACATCAGAATCAACATATAATAAAAAATAATAATTTTTCAAATAATTTTTTGCAATCAAATATACCTTGGAAGTCTTATTGGATTTTGTGGAAAAAAGGATGAATAAAAAGTTTTCAAATCATATAATTTGATAAATTCCAAGTGAAAAAAAATGAAAATATGCTTAACCAGGACAAATTCTATCAAATCTTATTAATAAATTGTGAAAAGAAAATCAAATTGTATGATTTTTTCTAATCGGAATGCTATTTTTATCGATAATATTTACATAGACTCAATAATATTTTATTAAAATATTATTACAATGACATATTATATCTACAAAAAAGCAAATAACAAATCATACAAGGCTTGAAGTTATCAACCATTGACAGTTCAATTATAATTTTATTAGATTACATCAATTGAAATAACTAATTTTGAAAAAATCGATTATTTTAAATAAACGAAAGATAGATTCACATGAAAATTCATTGATATGTAATTTTAAGTTATCAACACGAAAGATAAATAGTCTCAACTTAATAAGTATCACAGAACAAAAAGAGTCATGAACTCAATAAATAATTTGTGTCATTGAAAACCTACAATAAATACTTATATCCAAAGTTACATTTTTTAAAATCAATCAAAATGTGAACTATCTTTTAACAATCTAATGTTCAATTTATGTATATTGAAAAATCATAAGCTATTATGATATCAATGTACGTAATAAATGTATTATTTCTCCTATAAAGTATTTTGTAAGATATACTGAGTTAGACTTAACAAATCTATAATTTTAAATTAGGGAAACTAAAAAAATCAAAGTCAAAATAAGAAATATATAAATATATCATAGAATACGTTATTAAAACATTTATTTTATTATGCTCATATGTAAAACCTAAAATGTGACTAATTGTTTCAAAATATATTCAAATTCAGTATGATTAAAGCACTCACAAGATTGGATGTAACATCAATCTTGAATAGTTCAGTCATTTATCAAGCACATTCTGTTTGAAATGTTTATTTTATGCTGGTTGCTTTATTTATTTTCATGATCTGATTCATAGCTAAATGTATAGCATTTTGTTAATCATATTGACATTATTTTCAAATTTCATCTTTGTGACAAGCTTGTCCAATTAAATAAACTCTTTTATTGCTTGTGCTGCCATTACACAAGTAGCAAAATTAGTTGCATATTTTGCAATATACATCTACAATTCATGTGTCTATTTCAAGTTTAATCATACATAAAATTTCATATTGATATGTATATTTGTAAAAATATAGTTAAGAATTTAACATTTTGTCTTTGTAAGTTTCATATCAAAAACAAAATCAATAACCAATGCAACAGGTGTTTCACTTCATGTTTTTTAAATTTGTATTTGAGATTTGAAATTTATCTCTTGGTCTTGCCCATAGCAAATGCAGAATTTAATCTATTACAGATTTTCTTTTAATAAATTACATTTCACAATTTTGAAAATAAAATTTGACTTTAAATTAATTTCATGTAATCATTAAGACAAAAAAATTAATGAAAGCTTGAAATAGCAAGCTTTAGAATTATTCACTCACTCGCATAGCTTCATATTGAAACTAACAAATAGCTTTTTGGCATGACTGACTGTTGTTGAGTATCTTTCTTTGACTTCACATTTTTCCAATTTTAAACGTCTACATCCTAGAATGATAACAAATTTTTTTACTATGATTTTACAACCAAAATTCTTGGATCTTTTTTTATTATATATGAGCATCATATATAACATATCAAAATTCAACTAGCTA